GAAAGAAAGAAAGGACGGGCTGGCACGGTGGCTCACGCCTGTAATCCCAGCACTTTGGGAGGCCGAGGCGGGTGGATCACGAGGTCGAGAGATCGAGACCATCCTGGTCAACATGGTGAAACCCCGTCTCTACTAAAAACACAGAAAATTAGCTGGGCATGGTGGCGCGTGCCTCTAATCCCAGCTACTCAGGAGGCTGAGGCAGGAGAATTGCCTGAACCCAGGAGGCGGAGGTTGCGGTGAGCCGAGATCGCACCATTGCACTCCAGCCTGGGTAACGAGCGAAACTCCGTCTCAAAAAAAGAGAAAGAAAGGAAAGGAAAGGAAAGGAAAGGAAAGGAAGAAAGGAAGAAAGGAAGAAAGGAAGAAAGGAAGAAAGAAAGAAAGAAAGAAAACGGGTAAACACTGGGAGATTAGTAAGAAACTACTGCAACTGACTTGAGTATAGCTTTGGTAGTAATGAAAGTGCTCACATTCTAAATGTATTTTCAAGGTAGAGCTGACTGGAATTAGACTGAATGTGGAATGTTATAAGATCTTTTACTTGAGACGTCAAGGATGACTTCGGGGGTTTAGCCTAAGCAAATGGAGGACAAAGCCACCATTTATTAAAAAGGGAAGTAATGAGGTCAGGCTATTCATGTGTAAGGAAAGGAGTATATGAGATATCTCTGCACCTTTCTCTCAGTTTGCTCTGAACCTAATATTGCTCTTAAAAAATAAATTCTTAGGCAAGGGGTGGCAGCTCACACCTGTAATCCCAGCACTTTGGGAGGGTGAGGCGGGCAGATCACCTGAGGTGAAGCGTTCAAGACCAGCCTGACCAACATGGTGAAACCCCATTTCTACTAAAAATACAAAAATTAGCTGGTGTGGTGGTATGCGCCTGTAATCCCAGCTACTTGGAAGGCTGAGGCAGGAGAATCGCTTGAACCTGGGAGGCGGAGGCTGCAATGAGCCAAGATTGCACCATTGCATTCCAGCCTGGGCACCAGAGCAAGATTCCGTCTCAAAATAAATAAATAAATAAATTCTTATAAAGAGAAAGGGAAGACGAATGGATTAATAGATATGAAGGATAATATTAAAAATTCAGTTTTGTACATCTTAAATTTGAGATATTAATTAATTAGACATTCACATAAAGATGTCAAGTAATAGATATTTGAGTCTGGAGTTGTGGAAAAGGTTAAGGTTAGACACATAAATTTCAGAGTCAATCAGTATAAGGATATACTAAGATCACCTAGGATGTGAATAGAGAGAGAAAAGGTCCTAGAACTGAGCCCTGGAGATATTCTATTGTTTAGCAGTCAGGAAGATAAGGAAGAAGCCACAAGTAAGAGTGAGATAGAGCAGCTAATAGAAATAAAGAAAGCAAGAAAGTGGTATCCCAGAGGCCAACTAAATATTTCAAAAAGAAAGACATGACTAACTATAAAAAAATACATACAAGGTTGAGAAGAATAAAGACGTGGTGAGTGCGGTGGGTCACAACTGTAATCCTAACATTTTGGGAGGCTGAAGAAAGATTGTTTGAGCCCAGGAGTTCAAGACCAGCCTAGGCAACATAGGGAAACCCTGTCTCTACAAAAAATATAAAAATTAGCTGGGCATGGTGGCATGTACCTGCAGTCTCAGCTGCCCAGGAGGCTGAAGTGGGAGGATTACCTGAGCCCAGGGGATTGAGACTGCAGTGATCTGTGATCACACCACTGCACTCCAGCCTGAGCGACAGTGACACCCTGTCATCCAACCATCCAACCATCCATCTATACATCCATCCATCCATCGATTAGGAACTAACTACCGAATTCAGGATCATGGAAGTCCAACTGATTGAAGTGGGTATATAAGAGAATGGGAAGAGAGGAAATTGAAGCAGCAAAACCACTCAAATTTCAGAAGTTTTGCTGCAAGGAGAATAGAGAAATGGTGTGGTTCCTGCAGGGTGGCAGGGCATTAATTTTTTTTTAAGATGGGCAACTCTCTTCTTCATCTGCAATGATTTTCCTGGTGACCTCATCCTATCTAATGGCTGCAAAATACCATTTATATTCTGATGACTCCCAAGTTTATTATCTCTAGCCTGGACACTCTATACAAAACTCCAGATTCTAGTAAACTCCAGTCTACTAGAGATATTCAATAAATATATTTGAATAAATATATTTACATGCTGGTAAGAAGGTACTAGTAGATAAAAACCTGGAAGCCATTCTATACTCACACTCTTTCCTCTTCTCTCACATCTCATTACCTATCAAAATCTTTTCAATTTTATTTCCTAAATATTGTTAATCAGTTCTCTCCTTTTTAACTTCTCCATGTTCTTTATCTTTCACTTGGACTACTATAAAAACCTTTTTAAATAGTCTCTCTGAAACCAATCCCAACCTGAAATCTAACTTCCACAATACAGCCAGAGTGATTTCAAAGCACAGGACTAAACAATTCACTCAACCCACCCTAGGCTAAAAACAACTTAAGTGGCTAAAGCAGGAGTCAGCCAGCTTTTTCTGCACTGGGTCAAAGAGTAACAGTTTATGTTTTGCAGAATATACAATCTCTGTTCCAACTACTCAACTCTAGTGTTGGAGGACAAATGTAAATGACAAGAGACAATATGTAAAAATAAAATGGGATGGGGCCAGGTGCAGTGGCTCGCCCCTGTAATTCCAGCACTTTGGGAGGCCAAGGCAAGTGAATCACTTGAGGTCAGGAGTTCAAAACCACCCTGCCCAATATGGTGAAACCCTGTCTCTACCAAAAATAGAAAAATTAGCTAGTCGTAGTGGCACACATCTGTAACCTCAGCTACTTGGGAGGCTGATGCTGGAGAATCACTTGAACCCAGGAGGCAGAGATTACAGTAAGCCAAGATCACATCACTGAATTCCAGCCTGGGTGACAGGATGAGAATCTGTCTCAAAAAAACAGAGGTGTGGTTTCGTTAATTTTCCTTTATTTACAAATTAGAAAGTAGAATGGATATGGTCTCCTGACCCAGCAGATAAAGCAAAATTCCTTAACATAGATTATAAGGATAATAATCACATAGCTATCTCCAGTGTCATCTGCCAATCTACATTTCATACTTTGTACTCTATCACAGAGTTGCTTATACTTCCATGTAACTATTACACCTATCTGCTTTTGTTTATATACCCTTCCAAATTTTCTTCTGGCTAACTCATACTGTATAAGACTTGGCTCAGGCAACACCCCTTCTAAGAGGCCTTCCTTGAACCCTCAAATTAGGTAAGGTGCCCTTCCTTGATCCCCCAAAGAACTCCAAGGCATACCTCTATAATACATTGTGCTATACTATATTGAAGTTTTGTTTAAATCCCTCACTACTAATTTTTAAGTTCCTGATAGGTGGGGACTAGCTCGTTCATTTTCATAACTCTAGCATTCAGCATATAGTAAGCATCTAATAAATGCTTTTAGAATTGAACTGAAAGTTCTTCTTAGTAACAGAGCTGAAGTGACAATAAACATGTTAACTTCAGCATTACTGTAAATTTTTGAGGTAAGTTAGGTCCAAAAGCAAAACATTAAACATCAGTGTCAAGAATGTTTGACAGTAAACATCAGTGTCAAGAATATTTTGGCTGGGCACAGTGGCTCATGCCTGTAATCACAGTACTTTGGATGGTCAAAGCAGGCGGATCACTTGAGGTCAGGAGTTCGAGACCAGCCTGGCCAACATGGTGAAACCCCATCTCTACTAAAAATGCAGCCTGGCCAACATGGTAAAACCCTATCTCTACTAAAAATACAAAAATTAGCCATGTGGTGGCACATGCCTGTAATCCCAGCTATTTAGGAGGCTGAGGCAGGAGAATTACTTGAATCAAGGAGGCAGAGGTTGCAGTGAGCCAAGATCGTGCCACTGTGCTCCAGCCTGGGCAACACAGGGAGACTCAGTCTCAAAAAAAAAAAAAAAAAAAAAGGCCGGACACGGTGGCTCAAGCCTGTAATCCCAGCACTTTGGGAGGCCAAGGCGGGTGGATCATGAGGTCAAGAGATCGAGACCATCCTGGTCGACATGGTGAAACCCCGTCTCTACTAAAAATACAAAAAATTAGCTGGGCACGGTGGCGCGTGCCTGTAATACCAGTTACTCAGGAGGCTGAGGCAGGAGAATTGCCTGAACCCAGGAGGTGGAGGTTGCGGTGAGCCGAGATCACACCATTGCACTCCAGCCTGGGTAACAAGAACAAAACTCCGTCTTAAAAAAAAAAAAAAAAAGCCTTTAAGCTTTAATGACTGCCCTATTGGATTTCAGACTCGCACGGGGCCTATAACCCGTTTGTTCTGGCCAATCTCTCCCATTTGGAATAGCTGTATTTACCCCATGCCTGTACCTCTCTTGTATCCAGGAAGTAAGTAACTTGCTTTTGATTTTACAGGCTTATAGGTGGAAGGAATTTGCCTTGTCTCAGATGAGACTCTGAACTTTTGGGTTAATGCTAGAATGAGTTAAGCTTTTGGGAGACTACTGGAAGGGCATAATTGTGTTTTGAAATGTTAGGACATGAGATTTGGGAGGGGCCAGGGCCAAATGATATGGTTTGGCTCTGTGTCACTCCCCGCCCCCGACAAATCTCACCTTGAATTGTAATCCCCACATGTCAATGGCAGGACCAGATGGAGATAAGTGAATCATGGGGGTGGTTTCCCCAATGTTGTTCTCATGATAGTGAGTGAGTTTTCATGAGATCTGACGGTTTTATAAGGGGCCCTGTTTGCTCAGCACTCATTCTCTCTCACTGCCCTATGAAGAGGTGCCTTCTTCCATGATTCTAAGTTTCCTGAAGCCTACCCAGTCAGGCTGAATTGTAAGTCTTTTAAACCCATTTTCTTCGTAAATTAAAAATATATATAGTTTTAAAAGTCATAAAATATTTAATCCAATGCCAACACTAGCATTTAAGAGAAGGAAAAAACAAAAATCTTTAAGTCATTATGCCAAAATGGGAATTAAAACTTACTTCAATTTGAAGAGCTAGTTCCACTTGGTTGTGATAAGAATCTAAGAGTTCTTCAACAGGGTGTCTGAAAGAAACAAGTTATTGTGGCTGAAGGATGCTACATGCAAAATGATTGTTTTAATCACCAAAATAAGTATATTTGTATCTAAAAACAAAGTCTGAAAACCTGCAATTAATGATTTAGATTATATACCTTGTCATGACTTCTTTGTAAGGTTTTTCTATTTGATACAGGTATTTGTTTAAATCCACAGGAGTTTCATCATCTTCTGTCTAAACAAACACATATACACAAAAAAATCAAATCCACTCTTTGGTCTTTCTGTTGTCTAAATATAGTTAAGTATATGATAAAATCTCGAAACTACAGTGTTTTTCTGAGAACTAAAAATAAAACTCCATCAGAATTAAATATTATTTGTAACTGATTCAGGAAAAAAAAAGTCAACATCCTGAAAAAAAAAAAAGGTAAATGGAAAACAAATGCTTTGAAGAATAGTTTCAGATATATAAATAGCTTTTAGACAAAAAAACTACTTCTGTTCTACATATAGAGAATAGAGAGCTAAAAACACTTTTATGGCTGATAGCCAACTGAATATGGGGTAGAAAACAAATGGGGTAGAGAACATTTAACTTTCTGCATTGTTTTTTCTAATGATAATTTTCCCTCCATTCCCCGTCATAAACAAGGTACTCGTCTCTTCTACTCTAATTATACATTATGCAAATATAGTCAGTAACATCATTCCTAGTCAGGTGCAGTGGCTCATGCCTATAATCCCAGCACTTTGGGAGGCAGAGGAAGCCGAATCATTTGAGGCCAGGAGTTTGAGACCAGCCCGGCCAACACACTGAAACTCAGTCTTTACTAAAAATACAAAAAAAAAAAAAAAAAAAAAAACAACGAAAATTAGCAGGTGGATTGGTGCATGCCTCTAGTTCCAGCTACTCCAGAGGCTGAGGCATAAGAATCGCTTGAGCCTGGGTGGCAGAGGTTGCAGTGAGCCAAGATCACACCATTGCACTCCAGCCTGGGCAACAGAGGGAAACTCTATCTCCAAAAAAAAAAAAAAAAAAAGAAAGAAAAAGAAAAAGAAAATCATTCCTTAAGAAACTGAAAAGAAATGTTAACAATGACTGCCAAAATGTACTAAATTTTGTGAAATAGTCTTTACCCAATTGAAAGAAATTCCGCCTAACATAAAAGCAAAACTTAAGAAAACCAAGAAAAAAAGAAAGTAGACATCACTGGTATTTCTCCATCAAAAATTCTACCAAATGAAAAACTTTCTTTAGAAATTAAAAATTCAATTGTAAGTTCATCAAGGGTTCAAACAGTAAAACAAAATGGCTAAATTTCCTGCATTCTATTTTGCTTTAACCTCAAAAAAAAAAAAAAAAAAGCACTGAAAGCATTGTTTTTTTTAAAGAGCATCCACCTGCTGAAGTACTGAACTTTTAAAACAGAGAATTAGTTTTCATTTTGTGATGAATAATTTATTCTCCTCAGTTTGGTACAAAGGTAAATGTGGATTTTCTTTTCAACCCCAACCCATATTTAGTATTCAAAATTTTTCCTTCTTCCTCATTTTTCCTTGACTCACCCTCATGTTTTCACTCTTGTATAGCTATTACAAACCAAACTTTTAATTTCTCCACTTTGATTTTCAAATATGCTTCTACCTCTGAGGAGTATGTTACCTAAACCTCCATGATTGGAAATCTCTCTTCATTTGCTAACAGGTTCCTATTGAGAACGAGTTCATCACCCCATTCCAACCATGAAATCATGAAAAATGTACAAGTTGAAAATTGGCTAATTACCAGAATTATTCAGATTCAAACAAATACAATTCAGTTATAAGTCACACACTTACTGTTCGGGCCAGATTTTGACACATTGCACTGTAGGTCAAGAGTTGTAGTCTAATTTCTGTGTCCCATTTTCGACAGTTTTGAATATGCTCATGACTTCCAAGGCAATGATTACTGTTAAAATATATTAATTATTCACTATTATTTTATTCAAATTAGAAATTATAAAGGTGTGGGTAAAATCGAAATTGCACCTGCATCAGAAATTAAAGAGAATGGTAAAATACAGAGACAGTTTTAAAATCAAGTGTGAGCATTTAAACAGAGAAATTATTCTGTACAAGAAAAGTAAATGTAAAAATGAAAGAAGATGAAAACAAAGATGAAGAAGGAAGTAAGAAAAATAGGGACAGGGCATTTCTAGAAGCCTAGGAGAATAAAATCTGTAAAACAATTAGACTAAATGCTAGATATAATATACTACCTGGATAAGAAAAAGGTTCATATAACGATTATTTCAGGCAACTAAAAGGAAATCACAGCTGACTACTCTGTATAAAGTAACAGTGCATGCTGCAAAAGGAAAATAGAGTCTAAAATGATGTGACTACTGACTCTTTACAGAAAGAAAAACCCATTATGTCACTTATTAAGCAACTGCCTGCCATTCTTCCTGTAAAACTACAAGCTCCTTAAGGGAATACAATGTCTCACTTATCCCTGAAACCCCACCACTGTCTTAGACATTATTATCTTAGACATCGTATATTTCAATACGTTTACTGATTCAATAAATCAATTCAATAGGACCCAATGTATTTCTGCATTATAAATTTAACTTGAATTTTTTCTAGATTAAAACATTAAAAATAAAATTTCCAAAGATGTTGCTCAGTAGTTAAATAAACTTACTTCTGCAGCACTTCCTCTTGACCGCAAACTTTCAAAACATAGCTGCCAACATCTACTTGATTCAAGTCATCATGTACCCAGCAAAGGGCTTGCATAATAATAATTTCTACGGTAGAACTCACTGTAAAAGAGTTAGTCATCATTCTTACTTGCTCATATGTACTTATTCAAGACTCTATTACTTATAATTTAAGACAGCACTATTCAATAGAAATATGATGCAATCCACAAATGCAGGCCACATTTATAATTTCAAATTTTCTAATAGCCACACTGAAAAAAGTAAATGGAAAAAGATGAAACTAATTTTAATAATATGCTTCATTTAACCTAACACAGTTGGCCCTCTATATATGTGGGTTCTGCACCTGTGGATTCACATGGAAAAAAACATTTGAAAAGAAAAAAAGTGCATCTGTACCAAAGATGCACTTTTTTCCTTGTCATTATTCCTTAAACAATAAAGTATAGCAAATATTTACATAGCATTTACATTGCATTAGGTGTTATAACTAATCTAGAGATGATTTAAAGTATATGAGAGTATTACACATTGTATTCCTGTATTAAAACATCATGTTAACCCTTCTTTGACGCTTTAAAAAAAACATCACATGTACTCCATTAAAAAAAAATATATATATATATATACCTATCATGTACCCATACAAGTGAAAATTTTAAAAATTAAACCAAAAATAAATAAGGTACACAGGAGGATGTGCATCGATTATATGATAATACTTTGCCTTTTATATTAGGGATTTGAGCATCTTGGCATTTTGGTATCTGAAGGAGGTCCTGGAACCAATCCCCCATAGATAATATTTAGCAGTATCTAGCAAACAGTGATTTAAAACAAATTATAAGAAAAAGATTCACCATTTTAAATGTTTGACATTTGCCTGGTAAATTTTCCAATGAAAAATAAAAATATAGCAGGTAGGCTATATTTTTGAGATGGGGTCTAACTGTAACCTTCACTGCAGTGAGCAAAGATCAAGCCACTGCACTCTAGCCTGGATGGTAGAGTGAGAAGAGTGAGACTCTCTCAAAAAATAGCAACAAAACCCACAAAACTTTTCCTTTAACAACTAAAAGAATAATTGTCACAGTTAGCTAATGTTTTTCTGTTTCAGATTTATATTTTTTCAAAGGGCCTTCAAAAGTACAAAGCCGGAAAGAATGTATCTGAATACTAGACACATTCCTAGTCATAACCATTTTTTAAAAAGGTTTAATTCTTAGGCCAACGTGCAGAAGAAATACAGGTTCTCATTCCTCAGTTGGAATCCCATAAAGATTACATACATTATGAAACACAATAAACTCTGCAAGGAAATAAAATTAGTTTTCAAACTAAGAAAAAATTTCCTACAGACTTAGACATCTCTAGAGAGGATACCCATACCAAGTTTGGAAGAAAGAATTAAACCAAAAGAGAATTATCTTCTCCTTAGAGAAACTTAGCAAGACATCTGGAATTTCAATTTCACTGACAGCTCTTTATAAGCAAACATGTTTCCTGTCATAAAATGAAGGAGAAAAATAAAAAATTAGATTGTAATGAGATTTTCTATCTAACGCTTCTGGGTCTTTAGCCAAGAGCCACTGATTAACAAAAATTACTCAGCACTTTTCAGAGAATTATGTATTTATAAAGGAAACCTGTTTCCCCGTTAGTTCTAACCAGAAAACTATCCATATGAATGCCAAAAAGACAATGATAACAAAATTGGTTTATTAAAAGAATGATAACATTGATGTTTTAAACATCTCCCCTACCAGAGCAAAACAAGAGGCTTGGGGAACTATAAACGTACCATCACAAGTAAAAGTAACTGGTAGCTGAAATCCTTCAATTTCAATGGAGACCTTCACACTAGCATTTTCTCCACATATGTTTCTTTGCAGTGTAACTGGACTTAACAAATAGCCTGGATTTGTGCGGTGATTGGTATATGGAAATTTGGTCTTCAATCTGTTCACAAGAAAGAAGAAGTTAAATTCTTTTTTAGAAAGCTTCATTTGAGGGCTCTGAACAAGGCGTTACATGTTTACAGCCACTCAGTTCTGTGTCTTTGTCCAGCTCTAAAGCAGCTCATGAACTGCAATGAATGAACTCCCGTTGAAACTCCAAATACCAGTATTTTCCTTTTAAATAAAAGAAACCCAAGGAAAAGGAAGAGATTACTGCCAGGATCTCTTTGGTAACATTATCAACACCACCCAAGCACATGCTTGGATGAATGGCATTAAATGAGGTCTTCTGCTTCAAATTTTTTTGCCACACAGTATAATTACACAAAATGTTACCTTTTAAATTATTGTATAGGCAATGTTGACCTAAAACTGTGATGGTCAAAAGGATAAAACGTTTGTTGTCTTAAAAATTTTTTTCTTCTAAGGACCTTTTTCCTACAAATGTTATTTTTGGCTGCCAGATGATGAACAAAATAGACAATGGTTTTTTTTACAATGCTACAAGGCCTTTCTTCCCTCAAAGTGATTTCTAAAACTTAGGGAATTGAAAGAACTGCCTGTGAAGGTATTCATAGGAACAACACAGTTTAAAATTAAATACATGAATGTGGTGTATTGCTCATCTCCAGCCAGCAATGCTGTTATCATAAGACAAAAAGAGATCTGATAACTTCTTTACGCTTGTGAGCTCTTTTAACTGACTTTTTTCTAGAGGTTAGAAGACAGGTGCCAGTCTTCCCATCTGCTTTTCACAGGGCTATGAATAGAATGAATGCTAGAAATATTGTATATTTGCTTCTCTAGAGATTAAAATAATCAAGCCACAGAAGTAGAATAAAACAGCTTGAGTTGACAGAAAAAGGCTCTGGAGAGGTAGCAAATGTAACCATTAGTACACAGCCTCTAGAGCCAGACTACCTTAGTTTGAATCCTGATTATACTACTTATTAGCTGTGTGAACATATGAAAGTTATTAAATTTCCTTGTTGCTTCAGTTTTTTCTTCTATAATCTGGGGGTAATGCTACCATTTATCTGATAGGGCTGTTGTGAAAATTATGTGAATTTAGTTTTCAAAGCATTTAGAACAGTGCCTAGTACATGGTAAGTGCTTTAGCCTTGTCAAACAGATGAGTTAGTGAAGGGATAAATCTGGTTTTTGCACAGAAATCTTAAGCAACACAAAGGATCCAATATTAAAAATATAATACACCTTTTCTTAGACTCAGGTATTTCTTTATAGGAATACAAACACTAAGACAGATGCTCACATCAAATAATGAAATTAATTGTATGAAATGTTAAGAGAATGTTTTCACATCTAAGCAAGCTTTCAATTTTCAGAAACCCTTAAGGATGACAAAAGTAAAAGCAGAAATTCTTGATGATAGCTCAGACAAGAATTTATTAGACAAAAATCCAAAAATCCCAGTGATAAAACTTAGCTTTGTTTGAGGAACTTATCTTTACAAAAGTAAAAACAAAAATTCTTGATGATAGCTCAGACAAGAATTTATTAGACAAAAATTCCAGTGATAAAACTTAGCTTTGCATTTCCCTTTCTTAAAATAAGTCATTTCTTTTACACAACAATGTGAATGTAATTGTCACTGAATTGTATGCTTAAAAACAGTTAAAATGGTAAATTTTGTTACGTATATTTTATCACAATTTTAAAAATGTTTTTATAATGAGTCCTTTTTGTATTTACTTGGTACCACGGAAGATACCAGGTCCAGAAAATATACTAATTTCCTTTTTCTGTAAATTGACTTTTTAATCTCATGGTTTGTCTGCTTTATAAAAATTGCCAAAAAACATAAAACACCTAAGGTGTAACATTCCTTACAATTGAGGTTTTTTGTAACAAAACGTTTAAACATACAAAATCAAATTAAATTATTAAATGAATAACTGCTGTCTGAGTAAATTATTAACTTTAAATAAGACCAGATAAGGTATTTTTATGGGTCCTCTAAGCCACACACAGTTTGGTGTTCTTAACGTAACTACCTATAAAGAGTATTTTTTTTTTAACTCTAATTTATATTTTCTCTAAAATTTCTGTTTTCCTATCACTCAAATAAAAGTCTTTATCTGCTTAATATGGCTCTGCAGTTCAGGAAATTCAGTATCTCTATGCAGAAACGAAAATCCTTTATGGAGCCAAGTGTGGTGGCTCACACCTGTAATCCGAGAACTTTGGGAGGCCGAGGCAGGTGGATCATAAGGTCAAGAGTTTGAGACCAGCCTGACCAACATGGTGAAAACCCATCTCTACTAAAAATACAAAAAATTAGCTGGGCATGGTAGTGTGCTCATTTAATCCCAGCTACCCAGGACGCTGAGGAAGGAGAATCACTTGAACCGGGAGGCAGAGGTTGCAGGTTGCAGTGAACCAGGATTACACTACCATACTCCAGCCTGGGAAAGGGAGTGAAACTCTGTCTGGGGGCGGGGGGAAGGCCAGTCATGGTGGCTCAGGTATGAAATCCCAGCACTTTGGGAGGCCGAGGTGGGGAGATCACTTGAGGTCAGGAATTTGACACTAGCCTGACAAATATGGAGAAACCCCATCTCTACTGAAAATACAAACTTAGCCAGGCTTGGTGGCACATGCCTATAATTCCAGCTACTCAGGAGGCTGAGGCAGGAGAATCACTTGAACCTGGGAGGCAGAGGTTGCAGTGAGCTGAGATAGCGCCATTGCAGTGAGCCTGGGCAACAAGAGCAAAACTCCATCTCAAAGAAAAAAAAAAAATCCTTTATGGTTTATTTTTCTACTTTTGTGTGCTCAATCAGACTAAAATTCTGCACAGATAACCAATCATGCAAAATCAGAAAATAAAAACGAGATAAAGGCCGGGCGCAGTGGCTCAAGCCTGTAATCCCAGCACTTTGGGAGGCCGAGGCGGGTGGATCACGAGGTCAAGAGATCGAGACCGTCCTGGTCAACATGGTGAAACCCCGTCTCTACTAAAAATACAAAAAATCAGCTGGGTATGGTGGCGCGTGCCTGTAATCCCAGCTACTCAGGAGGCTGAGGCAGAAGAATTGCCTGAACCCAGGAGGCGGAGGTTGCGGTGAGCCGAGATCGTGCCATTGCACTCCAGCCTGGGTAACAAGAACAAAACTCCGTCTCAAAAAAAAAAAAAACAAAAAAACAAAAAAAACAAGATAAAAATGAGGGTTTTGAAAGATTTCAACTGAATTAACACTATTCTATAGGAAAGTACAGTCAGCACTCTTTAGAATAAAATTAACCAAAAGCAGAGCTGAAGTCCTTGAAAACATATAGGAAGTTCTTGGGGTCAAGATACTATTACAGGACATAAATATTATATATATGAATGCATGAATATTATACATATGAAGAAAAGAGACCAGAAAGCTATTCAGAAAGACAGGTATATAGTGTGACTTTCTCATTTTATCCTAAAGGACCACAAATAAAGTGGCAATAACTTCTACTGGCATTTAATACTATTAGAAGAACTTTCTCGACCCAGTGTGGTGGGCTCACACCTGTAATGCCAGCACTTTGTGAGGCCAAGGTGGGAGGATCACCTGAGGTAAGGTGTTCAAGACCAGCCTGGCCAACATGGTGAAACCACATCTCTACTAAAAATACCAAAAAAATCCCGGGTGTGGTGGGACATGCCTGCAGTCCTAGCTACTTGGGAGGCTGAGGCAAGAGAATCACTTGAACTCGGGAGGCGGAAGTTGCAGTGAACTGAGATCACGCCACTGCACTCCAGGCTTGGGTACAAGAGCAAAACTTTGCCTCAAAAAAAAAAAAAAAAAAAAAAAAAAGAATTTTTTCAGCACCTATAACTAGAAGATATAGCAAGCTTTGTCAATTACGGTAGGTGTAAAAGAAAAAAAAGGAAACAAAAAACTCAGTAATGATGAAAAGTATTCCTGCATCAATGTATTATAGAATCTTAAACTGAAAAGGATCCTTGAAATCCAACTCTTTAATTTCACAGATGAGCAACAACAAAAACCAAGACCTAGACCTGGCACTAAATTCCATGTCTGCTTTATATTTTACCTTAATGATAAACAAATATCATTCTGACAGCCTGACACTAATTTCATAGCTGAATTTAAATGAATAAAGAATACAAAAAGTAAAGAATTGGCTTTCTAATTAAAAGCCTAAATATTTGAATCTTTTTGAGACAGAGTTTTGCTCTTGTCACCCAGGCTGGAGGGCAATGGTGGAATCTCAACTCACTGCAACTTCCACCTCCTGAGTTCAAGTGATTCTCCTGCCTCAGCCTTCCAAAGTAGCTGCGATTACAGGCGCCTGCCACTATGCCGAGCTAATTTTTTTGTATTTTTAGTTGAGACGGGGTTTCACCATGTTGGCCAGGCTGGTCTTCAACTCCTGATGTCAGGTGATCCATCCGACTCGGCCTCCCAAAGTGCTGGGACTACAGGTGTGAGCCACCACGCATGGCCACCTCAATACTTGTTTTAAAAATCCACTGCAAAATGAGCATACTGGAAAAAACAGAGCCACTAAACTCAAAGGACATCTCACCTCAATCTCCACAGTCACCACGGGGAAACAAGAGAAGTTTCCAGAACATGGCTTCAAAAAATCTGTACTACTTCTTACTGCTCTAATACCTGTTTCCATCATAGTCTACTAATGAAAATAAAATTACAAAAAGAACTCATTCTCTCTTTAGTCCATTCGCAGTTTCATATCACATAAGTGTGTGTGTGTGTGTGTGTGTGTGTGTGTGTGTAAACAAAAACAATCATTTTCAATTAGTGGCAGAGTTTGTATAAATAGCTCTAAGATTCAAATGGGAGAAAAAAGGTAGGTCTCAGAGAGCCTAACTTTTCAACTTGCAAAGCTTAAATGTAGTAGTTACTTAACATGGCCTAACAGAAAAATACAAGGCCTGTTTGGGGAGAGTAACCTTTGCCAAGAAAAAGTGACTCTACAGATAATATTTTTTTTCCTAAGGTATTCTGAAGAAAAAAAATGTTGGTTAAAAGGTAACATAAAGGAAGGCAGAGTTTTAATAAAATATCATCAATGGTCCAGAAAGTCTCATTAAATATTAAGTCCTTTAACATTAAAATAATGTACATACTCAAAAATGATCTGGGAACCCCAAATCCTGCTATACTTAAAGTACACCACACTGAAGACGATGCTGGATTCAGATTAAAAAAAAAAAAAAATCTCCCAGTGGTGATCTACTTCCCTTTTTAGACAACAGATCTCTCATCCTCTTGGCCACAAGGTTTGTTGTTCCACTCTTTCCCCCTGTGAGATTTTCCTATCTGGCTAGCTAAGGGGACTCCTTTTTTGTCTCTGCTACTGAGATCATTCAATTGCATGGAGGAAAGGCAGAGGAAGAAAAGTGAAGAAGGAGTAGGAAAGGGAGTGGACAAGGAGAATCGAAGGAAGGAGGGATAATTTATAGTAAGTGAATTCCCGAATCTTGCTGTTAATGAACTCTGCTCCATCCTTCCTCTTCCTGCCATTTGGATTTGTGAACTAAGACACGACGCTTTTTAAGGTCAAGAGGGGTTTCTAGCACTTGTTACAGAAGTCATGACTAATACAGTGCTTTAACGGGCATGCTTAACCAGAAGCAAAAGAGAGTTGGTTCCATTATTGATATTACTGAATAGCCAAGTAAATTTCATTAGGTTACTTCTCTGAGTCTGTTTCCTCATCTATAATAAATATTAGACACATTTAAGATAAAGAGAATATTTTATATATGCGTTTTTCTAAACTTCAGAAAATATATTTGCTCTTCTAAACTTGCCTTAAACAGTTCTTAAATATGTAGAACAGTATTTTGAATGCCAGAAAGTTTATAGCAAAATTAAGTACCTCTAAAACAAAAGTAGGCATTTTTTAAGTGTACTGAAACTTACAGGTAGGTCATAGTTTCACTGGTTACTATAGTATCAGTCTATGGTCTGACCTCAATTTTTTCTTCTAAACATTAAGAAACCTAACAGGTGAAGATGTAAGTTCAACTGTAGTTAGTGGTAACATGCCAATTAACTCTTTGACTTGAAATTTTAGCCACAAGAAGAAAATTTTAAGTTTTAAATTTAAAATTTTAAAACTTTAGAATTATTAGCACTAGACTGGTTTGCAAGTCAATTTTTCAAACAAACATTTATAAAGAAAAATTCCTTACTTTGTAATGGATTGACAAAAAGCTGCCATCTCCTCATTCTGTACTTCAACTTCCTGAAGAAGAGAACTTGAAGTTGGCAAACCACTGGTCCCATTTGGGTCTTTCTGTAATTAAAAGTGTTTTTAATTATCTTAAAAGTGGAAGATGCACAAAATGCTACACAGCAGCACAGCACAAACACATTTTTATGAAAATATGTACAAAGCTATGGAGGTTAAAAAAAACATATCAATAACAAGTGTTTAAGTTGTGTATTTCTATCTTTGTAAAAGTAATGTCAATTAAGCCTTATTTTGGTTCTTTGGTTTTACTTGCTTAGTAGTAGAAACAGGCTGTATTGGTCGGTAAGAATGGAATGCTAAAAACCTTTCCATTCAAAATATTCCTAAAATAAACACTTTAGAAATTTCACAGCTAAAATGAAATTAAAAGACTACTGTGTTTTAAGAAAATGAAGAGATAAAGCCCATTTGGGACTCTTCTAATAAGCCAGAAATTCTATATATTCAAGTAGGCCCGAAATTCCAAGAAGGCAGATGGTTCTTTATGTAAGAGACAATGGGCATTTTCTAGGTTGATAAACTTATACAAACATACTCATAGTCTCTCAAAAATTAAGTCTACACCTGGTCAAAAACTGTTTACAACTTTTAGGGAGACCAATTCACCACCCAAGCATAGCCAAACAGCAGGGTCCATTAAGAGTGTTTTGATACTACATATAAGTATTTGATTTGGTACAAATTTCAAATATAAATTTCCTGTAAAATTAGAATTGGAACATTCTCAATTCAAAATTCAGTGAGAACGAAGTGCAAACCTTTCAAAAGCTGTAACAGATTTCAGTGACCATGGCACACACATATACAAAAAAATTTTTTTGAGACACGTACTCATTCTCTCGCCCAGGTGAGTGCAGTCATATGATCATGGCTCACTGCAGCCTTGACCTCCTGAAGTCAGGTGATCCACCTCAGCCTACCAAGTAGCTGGGACTACAGGCATGGGCCACCTTACCTGGCTAATTTTTGTATTTTCTGTAGACACGGAGTTTTGCCATGTTGCCCAGGCTAGCCTCAATCTCCCGGGCTAAAGCAATCTGCCCGCCTCAGCACTCAAGATGATTCTGTGTCAGAAAATTAAACTGAAAATTTAGGGCAACTATTCCTTTATGAGTTTCCTTCTTTTAATATATGTCAGAGCCCTTTCTGCTAGAAAATAATATATGCATTTGGAGAAAAAAATAAATACCTTGAAGTCTACAAAAGCACAACTAAAAGTTAACAAGTCTCTTGGGGAAAAGAGAGTTAAGGCAGACTACTGAATTATCAATGTAGCCAAGTATGGTATTGCATATTTGTAGTCCCAGGTACCCAAGAGGCTAAATTAAGAGGGTCACTGGAGCCCAGAAGTTTGAGGCCAGCCCAGGCAACACAGTGAGGCCCCATCTCTAAAAATAAAAATAAAATAAATTTTTGTATCAATATAACTCTGTAACCAAGGCCCTAACTAAAACAATAACATGTGCTTATAAAAATACTAGCACAGCTAAATGTCTACTCCCATTTGCAACAAGCATTACATCCTTTGAAGCCTAAAACTCTGGGGCTCTTGTTTCTCATTTGAGATATGAGTTCTTTAGGGCATATGCTTCTAGTCAACACCAATTGCAATGAAGTTAAAAGTACAGTACCACTGAGAGAAGCCAAGGCAGGTAGATCACCTGAGGTCAGGATTTTGAGACCAGCCTGGCCAACATGGTGAAACCTCATCTCTACCAGAAATACAAAAATTAGCCGGGTGTGGTGCCAGGTCCCTGTAATCCCAGCTACTTGGGAGGCTGAGGCAGGAAAATCACTTGAACCTGGGAGGCAGAGGTTGCAGTGAGCCAAGATAGTGCCACTGCACTCCAGCCTGGGCAACAAGAGCAAAATTCCGTCTCAAAAAGTTTTACAGAATTCTTAGTGTTTTCCTAATATCTTCATATAGTGCTAGAGGTTTCTCTTAGGTTGCAGGAAGTTTGTTTCTGATTATTTCCAAAAAGTTAATACGTTGGGAAAGATTATGTCTGAACTATTGCTACTTCCCCCATTATACTGACAGCAGTCTCATAGTTACCAATCACTTATCAATCAATTTGTATTACAGAAGCAACCACTGTGGCAAACAGACTATATTACTCTAAAGAATAGGGTTTTATATTTCCTAGCAAATCCTCTGGTTTCACACTCCAAATCTGCCGCAATCTAATCCAATCTTATTTCCCAGAACTTCTCTAAAGATTTCTGTGTTCCAGTTAGCTTGAATCATATCTTGTTCCTATAAAACACAAATTGAGCTATCCCACCTCTGGACCTTTCCAAATCTGCCGCAATCTAATCCAATCTTATTTCCCAGAACTTCCCTAAAGATTTCTGTGTTCCAGTTAGCTTAAATCATATCTTGTTCCTATAAAACACAAATTGAGCTATCCCACCTCTGGACCTTTCCTTTCACCTTCCTCTTAAACTTCCCTTACCATATGTGTCAAAAATCTATTAATTTTTAAGGTCCAACTGAATGCAACTTCATCTACAATGCCCTTCATGATTACTCAGAATGAAGGAATTCTTCTCCCTGTACTTCTAAGTACTTAGTCTGAACCAAACATCGTATTGCTACATGCTGTTTTATATTTGTCCTAATGTGAAAGCTCCTTGAGAACATGAATAGCATTTTGTTGAATTTTGTATTTTTGTATCCAGTTTAGAAGCATTCAGTCGTTAGTTCAATGTGAACTTCTGGTTCCCCCAAAACAACTTAAAATTCACTTACATATAACGAGTGAATTTGTCATAGAAATCATATCAAAAAAGCTCTATTAGGTGGGAACTATTATAACTTCCATTTTATGAAAAAAATGAGGAACAGATTAATTAACTCACAAGGTCATATAGCTAATACAGGCAAAGTGTGAATTTCAACCCAGGCAGTCTGGTTTCAATGCCACATGTTTGATAACCATGTCAATCTGTCTCTCAAAATAATATCCTAAAAAAATTCCTAAAAACACAATGTGAAAAATAACATTGTGACCTTTGTGGGAGCAGTGCTATGGAAAACCTGAAGCTTTGCTTGACCCAAGAATCATCTTTCCCTGAAGAACTGTTCTTCATGTTTTACTTACTTTAAAAACAGACTCTGAATCTCCTTAGATGGCATTTTAGGATTTAAAAAGAATAATAATAGTTCCATTTTTTGCAGTGCCTCTCATGAATCAGGTCCTTCCTTTCATTCAAGTTATGAGTTTGAATTGACAAAAACTGAATATAATAATTATCTAGTCATACATCAAGGTAAGAATAGAATCTAGAAAGTTAACTCAAATGTTTTGTCCATAAAGGGTAAAAAATAGCTAGGCAGCCAATATTTCACCTCAAACATTAAGTTTTAGGTTTTTCCCTCTACTCTTTCTGGAATAAAAAATTCATATATTTTACATCCATCCCCTTAACCCATACTCGAATTCCACCTCCAAACTCCATGCAAACAAACCAAAGCATCAAATCTCTTTTCTCCATAGATATTATAGCCTTTTCTGCTGTGGCACTCAAGACTTTCTTTTTTGTACTGCATTTATACACATTCACATTTTGTCTCCCCTTTCTAGCCCAAGTTATTTAGTAGTGAAGTCTACAAATGATTAATATTTGCAATCCTCACATTGTATACCCACACAAATTTTTTAACAAATAAAAGAGGTATATAAGGCCAGGTGTGGTGGCTCATGCCTGTAATCCCAGCACTTTGGGAAGCCAAGGTAAGTGGATCACAAGGTCAAGAGATTGAGATCATCCTGGCCAACATGGTGAAACCCTGTCTCTACTAAAAATACAAAAATTAGCTGGGCATGATGGCACACGCCTGTAGTCCCTGCTACTCGGGAGGCTGAGGCAGGAGAATCGCTGGAACCCAGGCGGCAGAAGTTGCAGTGAGCAGAGATTGCGCCACTGCATTCCAGCCTCGCAACATAAAAAGGAGGAGAGAGAGGGGGAGGAAAGAACAAAAGACATATGATAATAAGAAAACACTACCAATGCCATTAGCCAATACATGGAACAAAGAAAGAAGTTTGCAGGGGAAGATACAAAGTTCTCGTGTTGTTCTGACGCCAGGCTAGAGTGCAATGGTGTGATCTCGGCTCACGCAACCTCCGCCTCCTGGGTTCAAGCGATTCCCCTGCCTCAGCCTCCCGAGTAGCTGGGATTATAGGCATGTGCCACCAAGCCCAGCTAATTTTTTGTATTTTAGTAGAGATGGAGTTTCACCACGTTGGCCAAGATGATCTTGATCTCCTAACCTCATGATCTGCCCGCCTCAGCCTCCCAAAGTGCTAGGATTACAGGCCTGAGCTACCACGGCCGGCCATTACGCTGTGTTTGAAAATCCATGTAGATGTTTAGGTCATCATCTAGAAATGTTCTACTCCAGAAATATTATATAGAGCTAGAGACAGAGATTTAGGGATCATCCAATTTCTGTACCTCTTTACAGGGAACTCTCTCTCTCTGCTAACTGCTGTCAGCATCCATCAGGATCACTGAGAGCACATCTCGGTCAAAGCAGTCTTTGCATCAAACTCCGTTAAGAGGAAACAGTCTCTTGGGAAGCTAAGGGAGACATAAGGCCCTGTATCTGTGAGGGACAGAACTGGGACATCTCTTTATTTTCATATATATGGAATGGCTTGTGCAATTATGAGCTGACAAGTCTCCTGATCTGCACTTGGCAAGCTTGAGACAAAAGAGAGCCAATGACGTAGTTGCAAAACTCAGGAAGGGCCAATGCTTCCGTTTTAGTCCAAAGGCAGGAAAAAAATTGATGATCCAGCTTAAAGGCAGTCAGGCAGGAGGAGTTTCTCCCTTACTCTTGGGAGGGTCATTCTTCAGGCCTTCAACTAATTGGATGAGGCCCATTCACATTAAGCAGGGAATTTGCTTTATCTAGCTGACCAATTCAAACATTAATCTGACCCAAAAACACCCTCATAGAAATAGGCAGAATAATGCCTGATCAGGTATCTGGACACTCCATAGCCTAGTCAAGCTGACACATAAAATTAAAC